CCCCCACCGGCCCCCGGCCGGAGCCCCGGCGGCAGCGGCTCTCGGGCCGGGGCCGCCCGCCGCCTGCCGCCGCCTCCTCCTCCTCGTCCTGCTCCGATGAGGAGGAAGAGGAGCCGGCGGCGGAGGGGAGGCCGACGCCGCCAGAGAGCGCCGAGGGTGCGGGCGACGAGCGCAGCAGGAGGCTGATCCGCAACCAGTACCGGGAGCTCATCTACAGCGTGCAGCGTAAGGCGCCCCGCGGGCAGCACGGGGCCTGCGGGCGGCCTCGCGCCCGCGAGGAGCCTCTTCTGGGCGCTCCGAGGGCTGGAGCTGCCCAGAGCCCGGCCTCGTAGGGAGCCGGGGGTCTCCCTCCCCGCTGGTGCGGGGATGCCGCTGGATAGGGAGCTCCCGCAGGGATTTTTGGTGCGGGGGATGCGTGGGTGGGTGTTTGCCCTGCTTGAGAATGAGCCCTAGTGCGAGATTGCAAATCCCAGGAGCTGCCAATGCTGGAGAATTTTCCTTAGGCTTTCTGGAAGGAGCCACCAAGCTTTTAACAGCTTTTTGTATGGAGTTTAATTTCTGGTGGGCTTTTGTTTGTTTATACTCGCTCTGTTTTTGCAGAGTGATGCCCTCGTTGCAGTCAGCACTACAAGCACCACTCGCGTCAGCAGCTCCTGGTGTTGGTGGTCATCTCTGTGCTTGTTAAAGCTGCCCTTCCGTTTCGTTTTCATTTCGTTTTAAGAGATTACAGCATTGATGGTTTATGGATGGTTTATGGATGATTTGGTTCCTGTTTATACAATTTAAGGCACACTTGTGCATTGAGTTTGCATGTTTAGGGGTGGCGCATAGCAGTTTGCAATTGGACATCTGAAAGTCTTCAAATCATACGTACACAGGTGAATATTAGTAACTTTGGCATTAGGATTGTCAGAAATAATCAAGTATATTTTCTGGTAATCCATAATCCATTAAATAAGTGAGACAAATGGCATGAGTACATTACAGGATCTGGTAACTGTACATTACAGGATTTGGTAACTGCTTTGACACCCATAAAATCAGTGGAACTCTGAGGAATCTGATACTGCTAGATGAGTACATTACAGGATCTGGTAACTGCTTTGACACCCATAAAATAAGTGGAACTCTCAGGAATCTGATACTGCTAAGCTTGGAGCTCTTGGGTAAAATATATGTGTGTGATGTTGGATGTTTGACATTGTGTTGAGCGTTGATGTTGGCTGTGCATAGTTCACACAACTGCAGTAGGTGATACAGTTCTACATTAATTAATTTTCATTATGTGAATCTACTACTGAGCATGTGAGTGAGCATCGAAAAGAATCAGGTCTGTGTGTCCTCCCAATGAAAGTATCATAGAATCTTGCCCATTTTGAATATATTGAGGCATGAAACCGCCAGTTTAGCTTAAATAACAAGTGTGTATTTTTTAATGTCTTTATGTAATTTGGAGTTTCACTTGTAGTTTTCCTTTCTCTCTTCTTCTCTCTCTCTTTTCTCCCTTCCATCCCACTCCCTCCCTTCCCCATGCAGAAAATCGTGAGGATATGTTGAGTTCCAAAAGCAACAAGCTGACGGAAGCTTTGGAAGAAGCCAATAAACTGTTCAGTGGAGGTAAAAACAAATTCTGCGGTACTTGTTAGAGATGGTTGCTTAGCAGTTGACCAAGTGTGAAGAGATGATGCCTTAAAAGCAAACAAAAACCAATAAGAAATTCTATTTAAATCCAACTACTTTATCAAAACCACAAAATTATAATTTGAAATAAATCACTTCAAGCAAGTCATCTTCAGATGAAGTTTTATCAAAATATTAATATCACTAATGTTTATTTGTCCTTAGATATGTTTTTTGACGTATTTTTATAGTACAATATACATGAATAGTGCACAAATTAGGTACACTTCTCCTTACTTAGAGAAGAAAAGCATGTTAATGAAAAATTCTTTTTCAAAATAATGTGTTAGATGTTAAAGCTGGGTGTGTCATCTCCCTTGTTTTGGTGGAAATAGCAAGTATTATTTATTATATTGGAGGTCACTACAGGAACCTTTACAAAGCTCTAAACCCAAGGTATTCAATATGGTAAACTTTGACAATTACATATTATTAATATATAGTCTATTTTTTTCTTCTATAACAGTCTCCTGTGCACGAGAGGCAGCACTGGATGCCCAGTTTCTTGTCTTAGCATCAAATCTAGGAAAGGAGAAGGCCAATGAATTGCACTCTGAGATGACAGCATTTGACTCGCTAGCATTTGCGGAAGACTTAGTAAGTTCCAATCTCAGAATCTGCCAAGAGCTTTGCTAGAAGCTTGTGCTTTTTGTTGTGCAATCAGGAAAATGAGACCGCAGGCAGAACCTGACTCTTTGCATAGAAATTAACACACTTCCTCGGATTTGCTTTCATTAACTTTCACTATAGTTAGTGTAGTATTGTTAGCAGAGGGGGAAAAAGTAGCTTACAAGTGTAGCCCACACCTATGGAATAATTGTAGTTTTGCTGCTGCATGACAGTTTAGTTAGTTTATGCCCTCAGCCAAAGCAGAGGGAGTTTTTTTTGTGTCTTTCTGGAATTTGGTGGTTTTTTTTAAATGTTGTTGTTGTAGCTTTGTAGCTTCATGGTAGCAAAATAGTTTCTTTATTCTGTTCTTCATGTCTCTTTGGATGTGGTTTTCAAGGTGACTGGTGTGAAATGGGGCTTTGGATACTTGGTTCTTTGTACACATCCCATGCTTGCCTCTTATGCTGTGATTGGTTGGAAGAGTCCATTATAAGAGCATCAGAAGATATTTTTCTTTAGAGACAATTTATGTAATATGTTACAGTAGTAGAGAGTCTGAGTCTTTGGTCAAGACTGCAGTATAAGAAAATCAAGTTCATTTCTCCTGAGGAAGGATGGATTGTTTGAGCTTAAGTTGCTTTAATGTATCTGAAAAGTTAGGCTTCCTGAAACTCTGGTGCTCTGAAATTGGGAGATACTTTTGCTTAATAGTGCAATTTACGTAATGTCTTGCTGCTGCTTAGATCACTGAAATCTTTTTGGAGTACAAACAGTTTTAGCTGTGCATAGGTCTCTCTTTGTTGATCCTGCTTAGTAGTTATTGCAAACGTGCAAAGAGCTCTGTGCAAGTGGAAAGTTCTCCCTTGGTTCCTCACTGAAGAGAGCCAGGCCGGGAGCAGCCCATGAAAGAGTGGGGCTTGCAGCCAGCATTAGGCTAGTATTTGATCCTAAGCTTGTGATTAGTGTTACTGCAGTCCCTGGGATAAAGGTAGTTACCAAATCTTGCTCTTGAATTCACTGACAGGAGACTGCATGAGAAGCACTATCCTTTAATTCTCTACCACTTTTTCATAATTCAGAGGACAGAAAATCAGGTGACCTTTATGAGCAGTCTTTACTACATCTAGGAGTAATATTATTCTGCATGATTTAGAACAAAAAAGGCTGCTTATATACTGTAGTGCTTATGTTATCTACAATACAAGAAAGATTTCTTGAGGAAAGAAATGCTTGCTTTTTGGACCAAATGAAATCGTTGGAAAGAGAGAGTCAGATATCTTGAAATGAGATTTAACCCAAGGCTCCATTTTCCTGCAGGTGTCTCTGACACTGATGTTGGTGTTCACTGATGACTTGCTTTTCTGATAAGATCTACAAGTCATTCACTTGAAAGAATTACTCACTGCTAAATACACTAGTATCGGATTTTGTCATCTAATCTACTTTAGATAAAACCATATCCTAATAGGGACTTTAATATACACACAGCATGGCTATTGTCTGTATACTGTGTAAGTCTATGTGTGTTTCCTGTTTTCACTACAGCTTTGGGAAAATTGAGGTTCTTTAGTTATTCAGTGGTATTAAATTTTAATCTAGCAAAACACCATAACAGAGATTTCACCGTTAATGCATCTACTGATCTTTCACTAAGTGAATTTCCTTTGCGTTTTTTTTCTTTTATAGCTAACATTCATGGGTCTAAATCGCATAGAAGTAGAAGAAAAGGATAGTGATAATGAGGGCTTTTCTGGTGGTTATTTACCTAGTAATGCCTGGCATAAACTGGGAGCAGAAACAGAGAAGTATTTCAGAAGAGCACCTTCTTTTCACTACATGTAAGTTTATTTAAGGAAAATTGCATACTAATGGCATTAAATGACATGAGTTCTGAAAAATGAGTTTTGTACTGATCTTTAGTGCCCTGGGCGTGAGTGAACAGTTTAGTTTTATGTTGCAGAGTGTCAACAAGGATTCTGCCTACTGCTTGTTCTGTCAGGGACCACCTTGTCTCCTAGATATCTCATAGTATGTTTCTCTTTGACCTTGACTTGGCTTGGATACAAGATATTACCTTTTGTATGTTATAGGGATAATCTTGATTTACCTCTTTCAGGCCTAAACCAGTAGACTTTAATAATCTCCTTTCCTTTCAAGGCTGGCTCATCCTTTTCCTTTCTCTCCCCATTGAAGCTGTAGCTAAAAGCATTATGAGAGGATCATTCATTTCTCTAGTTAGGGTTTTATGAGATCCTAAAAAACTAAACTCAAATATCTTTTACCTGCTGATTGTATCATGAGGCTTTTTCAAACTAGTGACCAACAGCCCTTTTCATGCATGTGTTAATGAGCTCTCTTTACAGCTCTGTCTTGGGAAGAAATTACCTGATTAATGGCAGGTGTCCTGGTGTGAAATAAGTGTCTTTTCTCTCTTTAGGTGTAAGCAATCCTTTTAAACCCTTTTAGCTGCTATAAAATGACCCTCAATCAGGCTTAGAGACTGTGCTGCAGTTTAAATCTCAGTGCAAAATAGCAGTGTTTTAATGGCATCAAATTGTGGTCATGGAGCTGTTAAAACATTTCAAATTTGTGCTTCTTCATTCGAGGCTAAAACTCTAAATGATAAGTATAATATTGTCCTAATAAATGATAAAAACTGCAAAAAAGACTTTGGGGGCTTGTTGTTATTTTTCCTTCTCTGTGTAGTTGAGTTTTAAGATCCTAAGTAATTGTGGGCTTCTTGTAATGGAAGATGTGAATATTGGCAAATATTAGAAAAGTAATAAAATAAATAATAAAGTAATTTAAATAAAAATAGAGACTTTTTAGACGAAATGACCTACTTAATACTTACTCGATCTATTATTATTTGAGGTCCAAATTATTTTTCTATGGCTAGTCTCTTAATTTTTGAAATGGATCAGTGGAAAGTTGCCTACTGTAGGCAAGAGTATATGCTACTGAATTTTGGGATAGTGCTCAACTGCTTCTCAGTTCACATGCTCTTCTTTAGGCATTTAAATTGGAGCTTTAAGGCAGCCAAAATTTGAGCCTAAGTTGCTGTGGCAGTCAATGGGGGATGCTTCACAAAAGTGACTAAAGCTAGTGGATGTATTTTCATTATTTATTGAGAAACTTTGAATCTCTTTTCAATGTACTGAATGTCCTGTTGATTGACTACACAATATTTTTGAAGACAGTTCTTACTGCAAACTTGCACATATGTGCACTGAAGAGTAGATGAGAAAGAGATGACTGTTTTATAGAGGGAATTCACATACAGAGAAGTCTGCAATAAATAGATTTTAGTCATTGTTTTGCACTTTTATCGGGAAACAACTGCTCAGTATCGATTTGTTAGTAAACGCTGGGTGGGAAAAAATCTTTCAATATATTCTTTTTATTTGCTTTAGGTTGGGATCTTTTAAGTCTGAGCCTCCAGTACCAAGGCAACGAATTGAGAGGCAGAAAAAGGCTACAGGAAGAGAAGAAAAAAGGGCAATGCCTGCTCAGGTTTGTTAAGTACTATTTTTATTAATGATTTATTATAGAATAATTATTGCAATGATTTTAAAATCATTCTGTTGCTCATGCCACTTCCAGTTTTGTAGTTCTGCACTTTGTAGTAATAAAGAAATCGGGTTTAAATTTAGGCCCCTTGCTTTGACTTGTGCAGACTACTAGGGTATTTTATTAATTGAATGGGATGAAATAGAATTGACAGAGTGATTTTTAGTAACCTCGAACATATTTTTTGGCTTATATGCAAAGTTTTTGGAAGAATATTTTCAAAACTTAGAACATGTTTATCTTAGAGTATTGGGTATGTGCATTGGAAATACAGTTCTTGATATAGCAACTTTTTTCCAGTTAAAAAAGATGGAGGAGTCTCATCAGGAAGCTACAGAAAAAGAAGTAGAGAGGATCTTGGGATTACTGCAAACTCATTTTAAAAATGATCGTAAGTATGACTTCAGTTTAGCTCTTAAAGTACTAAATTTGAGCAAATGAATGCTTAGTATCTTCTGCTGACTAGCATAAGGATGTCAACTATATGTGTGGTTTTTTTAATGAATACTAAATACCCACTGGAGTTTGGAAATCTGAAGTCAATGCTTTTCCGCCTTTGTTAGAACACATATTTTTTTTTGGAAAGGAAATTAAATAGTGACTCAGTTTCATATCTTATAAAAATTTTTTTATACACACACACACACACACACACACACATACTGCTATTGTCAACTCCTCTATTTCCTTTTCCAGGTGTAGAGTATCAGAGAGGGCAAAATGTGGAAAAAAAATAGTTTATCTTGGAAATTGAACACTGCATGTAATTGGGAACTCAGTATTTTAAATTGAACATTTAGCCTTTGAAATGAGTACAGAATTTAAGTTAATATTTACATGTGTTAGCTTTGTGTATAACACCTGTTTTTAACAACTAACATGTTTTTGCATCTCTAGCTGATATGCCTATATCCTTCTTTGATCTTGTGATTGATCCCAACTCTTTTGCACGCACTGTAGAAAACATTTTTCACGTGTCCTTCATTGTAAGGGTAAGACACAATATGTTCTTGAAATTTTATTTTAGATACTGAAATTACAGAGCAACTTTGATCTGTAGTTTTGACGTATGTCATATTTAAAAAATAAGATCTAAATATAAGGATGCCTGATTTGTTTTTGCACGGACTGTGCTGTTTAATTATGTCAAATGAAGACAGAATTGACAGGTGATTTTTCTGCTGCATTTATTGCTATTAACCCAGAGAATTTATCAACAAAGCAATTGTGAAATTTTTGCTGTCAGTACGTTCACTTTTCAAAAAGTTCTCTGTATTAGGATATTTATAGACGTGTGTGTCACCTTTACATACTTCAATTATTGAATTAAAAATGTCACTGAAGTTAAACTGAAATTAAATCTTCAGGTCTTGAAGTTCTTGGGTTCTCTTCTCCACATAGGATAGCACAGATGATTCTTTTGTAATGTTTTGTGTCCTTTTTGGAATTTGTAGATCGTGTTTTAAATGTAATAAAATCTAAACACATTTGCTGGACTTGGGAAAAGGGAAAAATCTACAAGTATGTCTTGACTAAATGTTGTGGCTTATTATATACTTAGATTAGCCCTGATAATCATACCACAATGTATTTAATGAATACATGATTATGTATTCATTATGACTTTTAAAATAATTTTTATATTCTAAGTTAATGAACTACCTTGTAGAAAATGAGTTCTCCTTTAAGAATAGTAACTATATTTAAATAATAATTGTCATACCAAATATGAATAAAGATTCGTATCATTGTAGGGTACATGCTTATGATTATAAAGTAAAATACGGTATCAGTGGATAATTGTGGCAGCTCAGCGTCCTATCTCATTGGAATAGTTCTAATGTCTGAAATTTTACATCTTACTCCCTTCTAGGATGGCTTTGCACAATTAAAACTGGATGAAGATAAATTGCCAATAATAGGTAAAATACATTTAACTACAAAAGACTAAATGGTTTTGTTTTAACATTAGGAAGTAACAGCCTCTTGTGTATCACAAATTACTAAGCACCTTTTTTGTTGCAAGGACAGATTCGGGAACAATCTGATAGCATGGAAACTTAAGAATTGAAAAAATTGTGACCATTTAAATATTGAAATACAGAAAAAGTTGTTTATTATAATGATTTATACAACTTCCATTCATAGAATTAAAAGGTTGCTCCTTTTCATTTTATGTGGTATTTTGGCTAATGGGTGAATGAACATTGTCATGCTTTGCTGAGAAAGTATGTTTGGTATGTGAGAAATCTCATTTTTATCTAGCTGAGCTGAGAAGTGCTTTAAACGTTGAAGTTTTGCTTCAGCTTTCAAGCAGCCGAAATGAAATGCCTTCTGAAGTGGCATCTTCATTCCCCTAGGATATCAGTGGGCTCAAGACTTGGGGGTTTCCTGAAGGATTAAACACTTAAAACTTCTGAGACTCTGAAGAGTGTTAGTTTCTGGGGTTCTGGGAGTAAGACCAAAGAAATTTCTCATGAAGCATAGCGTCCCAACTATTGACTGCAACAAATTTAGTGGATTAGGTTTTACGGATTAATTTTTGAGAGTTATGTTCCTGGAGGAAAATGATTTTAAGAACACTGCAACTGTAAAGATGATGAAAATAAAATATTTTGAACAGAGCCCATAAAAGGTGATGAAGGAAGAGAGGATGATCGTAGTAATCTAGCGCGGAACCAAGCTGTCATCTCTCTGAGCTATCAAGAATGGAAGGTATAAAAAAAGCAGCGAGTGCTCGTGATTCTTTTCCTTTAAAGTGCAAGGAGTCTTATGAAAGCTGTGCTGTTACTTAAAGCAGGGTAGGCTTTGCTCTATGTGTTAAAGCCCCTGCACCTAATTTTATGGATTTCAGAACAATCATGAGTCTAATGTTTTAGCTACAAGAAACCTAAGGAGAAGGGGGATGGAAACTTGATCTTTGTTCCTTGAAGCCTAGATGATTTAAGTGTTTCTAATTTAAAGCTGTGCAATAATTGGCCTTTGCTGTTTTATATGGGAACATGGGAAGTACGGAGTCCCTCACTGAAAATGTGTAGAATAGACTTAGTCATTTTCAATAGTGCTTTGGAAAGAGAAACTTGTTGGTTTTCCTTGCTGTAACTGCAATTCTATTGAAATAGTTCAGCTGATGTAACTTAAGATGCTTTTAAAATTTTGTTATCTCTACACAGGAAATTGTAGAAACATATGAAATAACAGAACCCATGATCACTCCTCCTTATGACAACAATGAAGATGAAATGGAGATACCTTAATTCTTCAAGCAAATAATTTTCATAAATCAGACTGAATAAATAAGGATACAATGTGCGAGTTGGTTATGGATCCAGAAAGCCTGCAGAGGAGCTACCTGTGATGGCACATGTAGAAACACTTACAGGAGGCTAATTGTGTAACATCTGAGAATTTCCATATTTGTGATCTCTTTATGGATCTCAGAACTATCCTTGTTTAACCTTCTTTGCAGTAATGAATTGAAAAGATTTTTCTGTTTGCTGGCCAGTTAAGTGGTATGCTTTGGTTCATTTTCGAGACTTTGTACTTGTACTTGAAATGCAGTGCTATGAAGAATCATAGCTTAATTTTTCTACTTTTTTAAGAATTTACAGCTGATGTTCTTGTTAATAGACTGGTTGGAAGATGGGCTTAGGGGAACAGAAAGGGAAGACAGGTTCCTCCCAGAATCTCTTGAATAATAGAACTGAGTTATTTTATTATCATAAATGTTTGGTAAGTTCTGGAAGTTAATTGCATATTGTTTTAATGTCTTCTCTTTTTTCCCCTTAGGTACCTTAAAGAAAAATATTTTAAAATGTTTCCTTCAAATAAGGTTTTATGTGTATATATTGTACAATTAAATTTATTTTGATTAGAACCATCTGGCACTTTTATTAGCCATCTTGTCTATATGTGACAGAGGCAGAAATTATTATATACTTCCATTTAATTATGGTTTTGTTTACTACTATATTGAAAGTTTACTGATGGTTTTACAAGCTTGCAGAAGAAAGGACATGTTTTTTTGTCCATGTCTTTTGCTAGCAGCTGCCTGGAAATGGAGTTGATGTGGTTAACCACCTCTGCTCATGACCCATTTTGTTTCTTGTTATCTTAATCATATTGGGTGTCAGAGGAAAAAAATGATACTGTCCTTCTGTTCTTACTCTTCTTGAAATCACAGTTTGACATTTGGGAATTTCATCTTAACAACTTTTTTTTCCACCCCTGTCTGCAGATCTAAGTTTATCATGTGCTTCTTGCTTTGTAGACAGGAGAGCTATATTAGAACAGGGCAATATTTTCCCTAACAGAAGTAAAACTTAGCTCCATCCTCAGAAAATCTTCTGAACAACAGCTGCTGGTGTTTTTATGATTCTTTTCTCTTTCTTCCTTTTGCTTTCAACAAATGTCTCTGCTAAACAGCTGAGGTTTTGTTTACTAAGTGGATATTGAAGATCTGTTACTGGTTTTCTTAAACCCTATATTGCATTCATTACAAAAAAAATAGTTTAAATGATTTTTTTTTCACTTCAGAGAAATAGTATTCTGACTTTCCAGAATCAGGAGTCCAGCAGAAGCCTGAAGGATGCAGTTAGGGTATCATGTGCTGTCTTGTTACTAGCAGAATGTCCCTAGGTGACGATAAAGTGATCGGGTTGTGAGGATATTTGAAAACAGACAGAGCTGGCTCATCTTTGCTCATCTGCAGTCCAGCTGAAAGCTGTATTGCTTCAGACTTCCCTGCTGCTTCCTGGCTTATTCTGAAGTTGACGGGATACTTAGGGCTGCAGAGTTGGATGAAAAGGCATCGAGTTGTGCTGTGAAATGTGGCTCTGTATCTTGAGCTGTTCAAACCAGCCTCAGCTCGGGGCGTCTGTGGTGCGTGCAGTGCTGCTGCTGTCTTGCCTGGTCTTTTGATGCCAAGCGCTTGGTCTTGGCAAGAGTCTCTGCTATGGATTATGTTAGTGCAGCCGGCAGGACCAGGGAAGGGACTGTCCCCCTGTGCTTGGTGCTGGTCACCACACCTTGAATCCTCTGTCCAGCTGTGGGCCCCTTGCTGCAAGAAGGATGTGGAGGTGCTGGAACGTGTCCGGAGAAGGCAGTGGAGCTGGGGAAGGGGCTGGAGCACAGGGCTTGTGAGGAGCGGCTGAGGGAGCCGGGGTGGTTCAGTCTGGAGGAGGCTTGGGGAGGCCTCATGGCTCTCTGCAGCCACCTGAGAGCAGGTTGCAGCGAGATGGGGTCGGTCTCCTCTTCAGAACAACTCCAGGACAAGAGGAGACGGCCTCAAGCTGCGCCAGGGGAGGCTCAGGCTGGATAGTGGGAAACAGCAGTCAAGCACTGGAAGCGGCTGTTCGGGGACGTGGTGGTGTCACCGCCCCGGGCAGTGCTCAAGAAAGGTGTGGATGAGGCGCTGAGGGCCCCGGTGTAGCAGGCAGGGCCGCGTTGGCGGCTGCCCTCGTTGGCCTTGAAGGTC